AGTAACTAGCACATTGTTTTGCGCTTCCGATAATGTATACAGCCAGCTTTGAAACACTCAAAAATGCCAAATAAATGACGAAAAACGAGTCGCCTCTAAGTGAAAGTGTGGCCCACCGGCGGGCCACACGGTCGTCAAAGGGTTAAAGAAGGTATTCAGTAAGTTCTGGTCTTTTTTAGTGGAATTTTCCCACGGCGATGATTGCACGCAAAGCTGGAGCGGCTTTAGCTGCCGGTTGTACACTTCTTGTCAAGCCAGCCTCGGACACTCCACTAAGTGCACTCGCCCTCGCACAGGTTAGTTTTTTAATTTTTATACGTCAAAAGCTACAGCTACCTGCCTGAAAATTTCATCTTCGTGTGATATTTTAATCCTAATTGAAACTTACTCAGACCGGAGAAGAAGCCGGACTCCCTCCTGGTGTTTTCAACGTGTTACCTGCTGATCACAAACACACTACAGAAATGTCTAAATACTTATGTGAAAGCACCGATGTAGATGTCATAAGTTTTACTGGAAGCACTGCTGTGGGAAAGGTAAAACATCTAGTTTGGTTGCTTTTTCTATTGAATCTTGACTGCCCTTCTCATATGAATCAATATATTTTCAACTACGTGCCCTTCAATGTGCATATTCAGCTCCTTCTTGCCCAGTCGGCTTCTACTGTGAAGCGAGTATGTCTGGAACTGGGTGGTTCAGCCCCTTTCCTGGTTTTTGACTCAGCTGATTTGGACGTCGCAATCAAGGTAGGGCAACATCCTCTTCGAACACTTCTATGATTTTATTCAAATGACATCTTTCTAATAAAATCGTATGTGAGGTGATCACTATAAGTGTATTTAAAGGGAGCAATGGGAGCAAAGTTCCGTGGTTCGGGCCAAACTTGTGTGGCAGCAAATCGATTCTTTGTGCAACAGAAGGTATGTTGCGAATGTTTATAATTTTTCGGGATTAGCACAAGCTCCGTGTAGGAGTAAACTCTGCTCGAAGGATGATTCGTATGAAGCTGTTCTGTGTTTCGTAATAACTTCGACGACCCATTCTGTCTTGTCTTTCGTCAAATTATAAATCTCAAACACGATTTTTTTTCTAGATCCACGATGACTTTGTCACGAAAATGACGGTCGCGATGAAGGGATTAGTTGTTGGCGATGGGATGAATCCAAAGACCACCATAGGCCCTATGATCAATGAGAATGCTGTCAAAAAGGTGGGCTGTTATCGTGTCTCGACTAATCATGAGAATATCTTCATTAGCGTGCGCTTACACTTATGGCTTATTGCTAAGTTTTGAGATCACGTAAGTCTTGTTTCAGATTGAATACCTCTTCCCAAGCCAATCCATGGCAAAAGGTGCAAAAGTTGTTCTTTGAGTGGATAATACGAGAAAAGACAAATGATTTCCAACCCAACGCTGCTGACAAATGTCACGAACGAGATGGACATTGCACATACGGAAATATTTGGTCCCGTGGTTGCTATTCGAAAGTTAGTGATCCATTTTCTTCCCTCTTTCCGATTCTCTCCCGCTTTCAAATCAAATAGAGCGCTGTACACCAATCTATCAGTCATTTTTTTGCTTTGTTCCTGGATTTCTCGCTTTTCAAACAAGCAGGGGTATGCTGAGGGTCACTTTTGTAAGCTAGTTGGGAGTAGCTCGGTAGCTAGTAGCTTGTACAAAGATAAGATTCATGTGAAGCTGGAATCGGTCTCTGACTGCATTTTGAGGAACAACCCCCTTTAGGAAAGGTGCTTTTTACAACTGCATAGAGGCCAAGTGACGAAACATGATGTTATCATGGTTCCAGTTCCACCTGATGAAAGCCTTCGCCGACTCAGTGCAGCTAATACACCGCAGGGTCTGGCTGATAGCGTCCTCCAGCAGAGATCCGCTCAAAATCTACCGTTGTCACGCGGTTCGACTTCAGTCGGAAATGGTCGAGTTAATGAAGTAACATAAATTACCGATCTTTTCAATTTTTTTTTTGATTTTGCCTTTTTAATTTGTTCATTTCTTAAATTTCTTCGTTCTGGAGTTCTTTTTATCTGTATTCTGGGGTTATTTTTACCTGTATTTTTTTGAACCACAAAAAAACATTCATGAGAATACGCTTAGGCCTAATGTCATGCGCTGAAGCTGCCTTTGGAGGTGTCAAGGAAAGCGGCTTAGGCAGAGAAGGCGCAGCGCAAGGTATTGATGAGTTCACCCAATGGAAGTATATTTGCACACAGCACTGATATATTCCTGATTGTTGATTTCAAGTCATTAACATTATTTGAAAACTTTGCGGTATGTTTCTTCTTAAATCCAGTTGCTTTCCTGTTGGTTTCAATGGAAAATCAGCTTGTAGGCATTTAAAGATTTCTAGTGATATTAAATTTGTGCCAGTGACCTTGAAGACCTGATGGAATCATGTATAGCCTCCAAGGTTTTTCTCGTATCCTTATGCTCACTTCATATTTGTGCAAAGAATTCTCTCGATTTGGTCGTGGTGAAGAAGCCTTCGAATGTCCCTCTGATTTTCGGGAGGCATGACCGATTGTATCCTTAAAGAGCATTCGATTTGTTTTATGAATTTTATTTTGATGATATATGCTTACTTCCGAAAAAATGTAGGTTGCAATGTGACTTCTTGCCTAGTCTTGTTTGTGTACGAGTTTGAATAATCCGAGTAATAAATGTTAGCATTGTTGTTATAAAGAGGGAATCCAAGAGGTTAGCAGTTGTCCATTCATTAATAATATTTATTGGATCTATGAATTTTCTTATATTACACTATTTTCTGGGAGAAAATAGAAGGCACCACTTATTATTAGGTACATTCGAATACATACATCAGTTGAATTCAAAACAACAAACAAGGATGAGAAACAAATGTATGGGATCAATTCAGTGTTATGCGAAACTTACAGATAAATGGTGAGTTTATACTCTGTTGCAGTCGCGCGCCGATAGTGCCAACAGGCGGTGTCTAAGTCCTATTTAGTCGATGTTCATGATCTGATGCTCAACGGGTACAGATTCGCGCTTTATGACGCGCGGTCCGTAAAGGATTCGATATTACCAAAAAAGTTGCTTGCTCTGAAGATCGGTAAGATGCGCCGTGCTTGCTGAAGCGGTCTCGTAATTACTTTTTGATTAGTCCAAGGTGAAAGCAATGCTATGCATTTTGTGGAATAAAAATAAATAAACTCTCTGTTAAGGCGTCGATCACTTAAAGAAATCGCTATTTGAGCACACTGAGGGGGCGGGAGCGTGAGAAAATATGTGTGGTTTAGGCGCGCAGTTTTTGCGCGGCAGCTACGGGGGCGTCTGGGGCATTCAATGTGGTGCCCTCATCAACCTATTCAAGAGCGAAAGTCGGTTAGGCCTGTTTGTTGCTTATCGTCACCAAAATTTCGGAACAATCTCAAGGTTTCTATCATTTTCTTTTCACAATCGTTATGTCGTTGGATCAGGCGATCGACGGATTCCCTGAGTCGTTCTTGTAGTTGTGATGAATTGAGCTGATCTTCGCAGCTGAAAATTATTAAGCTCCTATTCTGAGTCTAAATACTGTCATATTGCAATTCTGAAGGTATGCAGTCACGAGGCGGTGTCCCAAAGTGTGTCCGACCAGGGTGAAAATCGTGTCGAGTACGTGGTCGCAGAGGTACGACCCCCCCCCCGAAATCGAGATCCTGGCACGACCCCCTCTAACAGAGCAAATTAATTCAATTAAAATAAATCCTGCAAAACAAATCAAAAAAAAATTCTGCAAAATAATGCTAAGGACGCTTCATCTTGTCATCTATGCACGTCTTCCATCGCTGCATACTTTTGTGTACATACTGAAATATCGACTCGAGGAAAGAGGCATTAACTTTGTGTGACCTCAAGGCGAGGTTCGTTCAGAAACGCACAGAAATCCTGAAGACACGGGGTTGCGATTCAATCTTGATTCTTGCTTGAGTATATCAAACAGCCGAGTGTATCAAAGGCCGATTCAACGGCAGCTGCGGCGCGATTGTCACTGGGTCAGATTTGCCGAAATTTCAAAAAAACGTCCGAATCTACACCCTCGATGAAAAGGTTGCATTCCTCCATTTCACAACCTTTGAAGCAGCTTGAGGTAGAGGTTAGATAGAGCTGGATTTCGCGTTTCCAACAAGCATCGAAATTGCTCTGGAAGCCTTCCTTGCAGAAAGATAGGGTCTGTCAAATTTCGTCGAGTAAATGTCGAGGAGGCCGAAATTTTCACGCGAGTTTTTGCCACTTCAAGAGCAATATATCTCTTATATTGTAAGATCCTGAAAAAGGGAAGATAGTTTTGGAAAGCGGAAGGTTTGCGCTTCCTGATGGTCTGTTTAGTTTTCTTCTACAGCTTTTTGGTTGAAGAGATAATTGCGTCGAGGATCTATCGAGGTCGGATCCGGCCACCTGGAAATCCGCTCCCTCATTCACCATTGCAAGTGTGACTCGTTGGCAACACTCGGAATGTGTCTAGAACAATATCTTTGAACGCAAACAATAAGAATAGGAGCAATCGTCATCATCCGATTTGGTATTGGTATAAGCCATGCATCCCTCCTCCACTCACAGTTGCAGAATCGATTGAAAGGTGTTATATGATGGGGACCTTCGAACGAAACTGTATTGTAGTAGACATAGTGTGTTGTGCTATTCCTGTAACCTAAAAAACAACTTCATTTGCCCAGCGCTTTTTCTTCACGGTTGTCGTTTTTCCGACAGGGTCCCTAACAACAGCGTCATTCTCAGCGAGGTATTAAGGGAGAAGGAGCGAGTGATAGGCGGAGGAGGTGCCTTTGCAGCGCGTGCGCACATGTGGCAGTCTTCTTTGCGGGGATGCACTTTCATTCTTTGTACTGCCTTCAAATACGCCCTTCTCATGAAGGTGGAGGAATGGAGCGACTGAACCTGCAAAGAAAATTTAATATCATGTTTTTTCGGATGTTTTCATTTTCTGCTGCGCTATACCCTATTACCTATCTGCACCATGATACCACTTCTGTTACTGACCCCCAAGAGTACGACCCCCCATGGACCAGCCCAACAGGTACGACCCCCCTGTCGAGGATTTCCTCGACCGATATTCACCCTGGTCCGACTGCACTGTGTAAACGAGCTTCGCGAACCCCCCCCCCGCACGCGGCCGAATAGACGCGACTACTATTTGTATTAATTTTGATAATGTGGTGCGTCTCACCTCTTAATAATCGTCCTGCAACATACAGCTAATGAATAGCATGCTTCCTTTGATTCCTTCAAATACGCATGGCAAAGCTCGCGATTCGTTTCAGTTCGATAGTGGTTCTTGAACAAGAAGTCATCGATTGTTTCCGTGGAAGGTAGCGGTTTTTGGCATTGGAGCATCTAAAAATGGATTTTTGCCCGGAATGAAGTCACATACCCTCCCTTTCAAAAGAAAAAAGCGTCGGGTGCAGACCATACACCACAAGTGACGACCTCCAATCTGGTTAGTAGTGGTTCATAGTGATAGCTGATTTTGGTAAATGATAGTTGTAATTAGTGACAACTGATAGAATACAACTGCAACAGGCTAATCATTTCATTGGCAGAAAACATTTACATTTTGTGGAGGCCGTCGTCACTTGTAGTGTATGGTCTGCACCCGGCAAAGCGTTTCCCGCAGCTAGACACGTCGCAATTGCAGACTCAGTAGCATATACGGTGTCGGTTCGGGAAATCGATATTTGTATGATTCTTAATGCTCTGTGTGCTGGCTGATGCCACATCCGAGTGCAGATGCATCTCATCTCGGTGCAAGAAACATAGTATAAATACCTCGTCAGTGCTCATCCTTCGCTTATCATTGCTGTGCTCCAGACATGTCTTCCGCAGGCTCCGTTGCGTCACTAACAAGTGTTTCACCTACAAATGTGCTTCTTTCGTTCATACATTAATTGTAAGCCGTTTGCCGAAATATTTTCGCCACAGCACTTGGTCAGGTCACGTGTCATAAGGTTCGTTGCATTGCGCGCTGCCCGGATGTGCGATTCAGGCGCAAGCATACTTTTGCACTTTCGACATATGCAGACCGCGTTCTCTAATAATTTGGAAGGTTGTGACTATCCTAATTCCTCCAAGATCGGTTCTGATGCAGATCCGTTTTTGAGGATAAGATACTGATCTTGATGTAGGCAGATTGACAACTGACTGGTGCTCAAGGGGAGGGGGAACAAGGCCCAGAGACAGACTCCCTCCCGGTAGGCTGACCCTCTCATAATTTTACACGGTCAACTGTGGCATGCTCGAAATAGAGCGGCAGAGCGGCTTAGAAGATGTGCGACCTGCGTTTCTGGCATGTCCGAAACGGTCGAGAAGTAGGAAGTAAGAACTAGTATGGCCCACCGTTGCGTAGTCGGACTTCTCAACAAATCGCAGACAAGCTCGATGTGCCAGCATACCGCGGCTGACGGAGCTGACATTGAGAATTCGCAGCACATCGCCGTCGTCAATTCCTTGAAAACATTAGGCTAATTGTTTTCACAAGTATGCTGGGTTGTGAAC